GAGACAGTGCAGATCCACCTAAAACTGACTGCACTCAAGGTGCCACCACTCACCGCACTGGAGTCCTCCACCTATCAGACAAACCCTTCGGCAAATGACAGCGCTCACAAGCCACAGAATCTGAAATGGACTTAAAGATGAAGATACCCCAGAAAACAAGGTGTTATACTAGTCTGTTGTTGATGAAATAAATACACGTACAACAGATGGGCAGAGCATATTTGTATCCAAAGAATTGTAGCCACGTGCAAAAAATATGCCCTTGTGACATTTTTAATATAAATCAGTCAAAAGGTAGCACCATGACTTCACACTTTCATCATCACTTTATATTTATTTTATATCACCAGCTTTTAGCTGATTCACTGATTTAGCTGAAGAAAGTTCTGCTGCTTCCATAGCTTAATATCTGACAGACATGCCTAAAGTGTAAAGCATTGTCGCACAAGAAAATCAGAATGTTTTCAGCATAATTAGGAAACTGAAATCCTTGATGGTGAGTATTCTAATCGAAAGGCAAAGGGTAAATACGAAATTGGAAAAATTCCCAGCACTGTACCTTGTTGAACACCTTGTGTAGTTGGGACATTCTCAAATTAAAGAACAGCCAAGGCGATGGAGATTTGACTTTAGGTAGCCAATTATGAGCCTAACCAACATGTAAGCAGGTATGATGTTGTGATAGACTATCAAAAAGTATAAAAAATCTTTCCTCCTCACATGTCATCACATTGCAGAAGAGTACAAATTCCACATAAAATATGTATCTAAATGTACAATCCTGAAGTGATGAAAGTTTAGCTTAAAGGCATGTGGGCAAAGTTGAGATTTCTGGCACCTGATCAAGGTTACTGGTGCCTTTCTCTTTTTACAAAACTAACAGACTTTCAAAGCAGAGCTTTCTGTAAGGAGACAATGAAAACACAGCACTGAGAGTGCTTCTTGAACATTTCTGATTAGCTGCTTTGAAAAAAGAGTACAATTTACTTTGGGTTCATTCATTCTTCAGTGACTGAAGTCACAAAGGACACTAGAATAGTGAATTTCTATGCTGAAGATATTGGATAGTCTGCTCAATCAACCTCTCATTGAAATGTCATTCAGGTCACCATTATTTTATTGCATTGTGAAGCTTTGCTCTTAGGTTGCTATCAGCTTCCTGTCTCAGTGGAGAGTTTAAAAAAGGAATGAGTACAGAATAATTCACCAAGTTAAGTCATATGCTTGTAAATGTTTTTTTTTGTTATGTTCTGAGACCATGAAGGCCAGGATGAGAGAAACCCACAAACACTCACCGTGTTAGTAAATACCACAATGATTAGTCATCCCATGGAACATCTCTAAGTCTATGTAGGTCAGCTCAGAGGTATTGTATGCATCTCTTGCACACTGAATTGGGAACTCAGTCTGAGAGTGGCCAGACTATATTGGAGAATTGGAGATCACCTGCTCCATTTATCAAAAAAGAACATTTAATCACCACCAGATTCATCCTAAATTAACATTATGCTGGATATAATGTACACATATTTATTCTCAAAACGTCAGTTCAATATGGGGTACTCAAAGGGGATTTCAAATGACCTTTTTCACGTGCATACTGGGTAAAATAAGTGCATTGCCTTTCAGGAGTGTTTTAGAAGCTCAGTGTCACATTGGGCCGTTTCAGCACTCCTGGAATGGCACTGACACAGTATTTGTGTTTATAGCTCATACTGTAGGTTTGTACATATGAAGAATGAAATCACTATGATTCTATACCAACACAAGACAATACAGTCCTAGTTCTTTGGAGTAATGGAAACAATTGTTAGTCACAGAATTGAGAAAGCAGGAAAGTACAGACCTAGGAGTTTGTACAGTTTGAAGATGCTCATTAGTACCTAAACTATGTTAGCAACTGCCAGAATACGGTCACATGATTCTGCTCATCCAACCAAGAGCTTTCTAAACTGCATTATAACTACTAGAGAACAAAAGCTCCAAGACGCACACTTACTGTATGTGCAGAGTATTGCAAATGGATTATATTATGTACAAAAATATAAGTTCAGGACAAACCCCTTTTCCTGTCATTTAGCTCTCTAGGGTATAAATATGAGACTTAAGACCTAGAAATGCCCAAAGGTCTGTGTGAGGGACACAATGTTATTTGTTCTTGACCCAGAGTTTTTAAAGTACTTAATAAATTAGCATAATTAAATGTACTTCATCGGCCACCAGTAACATCGTTCCTTGGTCTTTATCAGGTGATGGATGAGAGAGACCTTTGAAAGTGTCAGGATCCAGCCCTCCAGGATTAGATTTTGGGTACCTGTTTTAGACCATTATTTCCCAGAATTCCTCCTGCTGACACCTGTCCACCATCAACTGGTTCATGTCCAGTACAGCAGCCCTTGAGTGTCACGACCGCCAGCCAGCCCAGATCAACCCACAAGAGAGCTAACCAGTGCCAGCAGCAGGTTGATAATAACAAGCGCCGCCGTACATGTTAATCCATTACCACACGCCCTACAGGCAGCGCTATTTAAACAATCCAAACCCGCTTCCTGCTGCTTGGTATTGAGTCTTCTAGAGAGACTGTTTGTACCTCACTTGCAAAACTTCTCCCGGCTTCTGAACTACCCTTTTACCCTCGACCTTGAACCTAGCCTTCTGCTTTGGATGGTACTCCTGTCTCCGTATCTCCTGGCTTTCAAACTACTTTTCGCCTTTTGACCACGATCTCGCCTGACGTTTCGGATCATACTGTACGCCTGTTTTGGATATCTACCTGCTCCTGCATCTGCATAGGATCCGCATACCTTTTCATTGGGGATTCCTTACATTGAGCTGAGTATAGAGACAGGCTTCCTTCTCTAGCCAGGCAGTTGTCCCACAAACAAAGTGTGAAAACCAGGTATATCAATAAATCCCTATTCTTTCTCTCATATGTATTAATGGAGTCTATGCTTATCTTCTGTGTCAAGGCCGGAAGCTCATATGAAAACATTTTTCCCATTTGCAAATGAGACAGAGTATATATCAGGATTACTCATCATGCTGCCATTTCAGGCTTAGCTGTCAGCTTACTGAATAATTAATTGAACTATGTCATGACCAATTAATTGATGTGTAAGTTGTAAGACAGCTACGTTGCACAGTAGTTACTTCACGTCCACATAACCAAACCTGCTCTTAATCGTCATTGTTGCAACTATTATACACAGGAGCAGTGAAATGAACAACAGCAATAGAAATAACATGTTTTCTTTAACTTAAGGTGGACACACACTGTGAAAACCCTTGGAAGAGAAAGACTAGAAATCAGTTTCAAGTAATGCTCATCTCCTATTGGACACAGCAATAACTCGTGACTTATTGCTTGCATTAAAAAAAGTACAGAATTGAAGATTCAAATCACTTCCTATAAAACTATCTAGCTAGAGTGATGATTCATGATTCCTACAAAGAGTCCACTTGTAAAATCTAGTACAGTGTGCAGTACATTCATAGTACCATAAAAATAGAAATAGTTTAAAAAAGGAATTGATGCTTATCATCTGAGAGCGCACATCAACAGACTCTTAATTACAATAGCTGTGACCTGTATGCATGACACCAACAACTGGAAACTGAACACAGGTTCTGTTGTGTGCACTTGTCCTACCTGTCTCACTGCCTGGGAATGATGACTGGGTATCTCTCTCTTCTCTTCTACTGTATGTTGAAAGATGCAAGGTCCCTTTGTGTCTTGTCATGTGACACTGTCGTAGCACTCCTCTGCATTAGGTCACTCTTTCACCTGTGAGAAAAAAAGTCAACACATCGGTTTTCTCAGTCCTCAGCAGAAAGAAAAACATAAAAAAGGGTACAAGGGAACAGAGCCATTCGCACTGCCTGACCTGCTTGGTAGATAGTAGTTAATTGAATCCAGGATCTCATCCAACTGCTTCTTAACAGAAACCAGGACATTAACATGAATGACATGGCTAGGCAGCTTGTCCCATACACCCACCACCTTTTGTGTAAAGAAGTACCTCCTGTTCTCAGTTTTAAATACACTTCCACACAGTTTCCACTAGAGTCCTCTGGTTAGTGTTTCACAGTTCAATATGAAGAAATTTGCTGAGTTAACTTTGTGAATTTTGAATACTTGTATCAGGTCTCCTCATGGGCTTCTCTGTTCAAGACTAAAGAGACTCAGTTTCTTCAGCCTGTCAGCGTAGGACAGTCCCTTAATACAGTACCTGTATCAGGTTTGTACTGTATATCTAGTTTAGGTTTTTGCCACCTGCATGCCATACCTAGCACGTCTATATTAAACATCATCAGCTGAATTAGAACTACTAAATATTTTTAAATTTAATTTACTGTTGCAACAGTGTTTGTTAATTTCCTATCTTGGTATTATTTGCAAAATTGACTAGTTTACTTACTATATTGGAATCAAGATCATTGACATAAATTAAGAAGAGTAATGGTCCTAATACAGGTACCTGTAGATACTCCACTAACTTGCTCCAGTCCGAGTATTCCCTCCTTGTTTGTATGGTCTGTTTTCTATTCAATAATCAATTCTCAATCCAACAACTCACATTTCTCCTAATGTCTACCCCTTGTGATTTGAGCATTCATATGCATGAGGAACTTTATTAAAAGTTCTAAATCCACAGATGTTTTTCTCATTTCCATGTTTCCTATTCCCTAGGATCTTATTTCCTTATGGTTTGAAACTAGATCCTGTAGTTTAGCTCTAAAGGTACGCCATGGACACGGCCAGCTCTGTGGACCACGATGTGAAGGCCAGTCCATCACATCTCTCTACAAAGCAGAGAGAGGCTGAACATAAATGAAATGTCTTCATTAAAGAGACATTTAAAGATATTGTTGGCATCATTGTTTTGGCTTAGATACAAAACACATCATATCTGTTTTGTTTTGGTTCCTGCTCCCTGTTGAAGTGTTACAATAAATCACAGATGTAATGTGGACTGTATCTCACACTGCACTGTTGCTAACACTTCCACTGCTGCTATTCCTTTCTTACCATCACTATTGCTACTGCTTATACTGGACTTCTGCTACTGCTACTGCTACTGCTACTGCTACTCTCACTACTACTACTGCTCCTACTTCTACAGCTACTGGTAATGCTACTAGAAGTAGCACAACTCACAGCTCTCTAGCTACACTCGTATATGAGATCTAACTCTGCCCATTCCAGTGACTTGGAGTAGGCTGCTGGCTGGCACAGTGAGTGATCTACAAGTCTGGCTGCCTGCTTGATCAAGTCCATGTGCTATCGAGGTTGATTTGAGAGGTTTCATTATTAATGTGGTCAACTCTGTACATGCTAGGCCAGAGAGACACAGGATAGACAGGAGTGATAGTCAACTCTGTGCATGCTGAGCCATAGAGACACAACAGAGGTAGTCAGCTCTGCACATGCTGAGCCAGAGAGAGA